AAGCAAAACTTGAAGTAGTTGTAGAATGATTAGGTACCTACAGGAAACCATCAAGTGGATATAGAAAATCGTTAAGGAGCTATAGGAATTCATTAAGTAGCTGTTAGGTTTTTCTTCAAAAGTATCTCTTTTGAGAAGCTACGCTATAGGCTTAGACCTTCAGCAATAGTTCTGAGACTCCACGCAGTTTCACGAAGTTCTGTTTGATTTCCTAGGCCATTGGACAATTCTGAGTTTAGAAAACCTATGAATTCTCAGAAATTTCTAAATCAACAATTCTTTATTTTCAACTTAATATACATACGTAGTGATATCATATAATGATGCTTTGATACTAAAAGCATGCGGAAAAGAGAGAACACTCTATGGCTCAAGAAAGATAGAAGATATTAAAGTCATTATCTGCAAAAAATCCTCAGTCCGTATATATATACGGGTTCCGTAATCAAAGGGTTAACAGATCTCCGTAGGAGATTTCCAGCTCACTACTCGGTTTTTGGCTGTTTTGGATATTTTTGAAAATACTATTTTGCTACTTTATCAGTATGGAATAGACATTTTCATATGACATAGTACTGACCGTGGGGCTAGCTTACGTCATCTATTGCGTGCTTTCAAAAATTCCCCATAGATATTATCCATATCCCATTATTTCTGGATTTTAATGAAAAATCAATTTCTAAACTTGTTTATTATTTTTCTCAGAAACATGATTTTTGATCAGAAAACTGTAAATAACTTCCGCACGCTTCAAGATAATACCAATATTTTTTTTTTGTTTTCAAGATCTTAGCAAGAGTAAAATTTTGTCCCACCATACTTTTTATTTTTAACTTCTGCAATAAGAAAAGTGAGATTTAATGTCATGTATTGGCATTTTTTTTTGGCTTATTTCGACCCCATGTGTACTGAAACGATCATAAAAAATGAATGGAAACCAATTTCAAAATTTTATCCAATAAAAAATTGCGCATTGGAGTTAGCTTTAATTTGAAACCATCCAAAGCCCTCTATCTCTTGTAATAAGCAAGTTATAAGGATTCTCTTGCAGGCTAAAAATGGACTATAAATAGACCAGAAGTCCTGTCTAGTTTGACATATTTGGCTGAAATTTTTACTAGAAGTGTTTCTCACTACGATCATTCATTTCTGAAAATTTCAGCCTAAACGGATCATCCTACGTGGCATATCGATTTTGAGAGAGGCCCCCTTAATTTACTAAAATGAGTAAATAGATTATTCTGCTCCGATTTAAGCAAGTCATTAGTTTACAACGACCTTTCCTATTAGAACAACTTTACAAACAAAAGGAAAAAGACCAAAGAAGTTTAGGAAAACTCAAGCAACACATAGAACATTTCTTTAGATTAGTCATAGTGCAAAAAAAAAGAGTGAATGATTCGAGGCAGTTCTAATGCGCGGGTTTCAATTCTTCAAAAATAATTTCAAATAAGAGAAACAATTCGGTGATTTCGTCAGTTATTCCCGTTTTCGACAATACTATTATTTTCTTTCACTGTAATATATCTTATCAAAAATATACTCCAACTCATTACTTGTAGGAAAAAAACAAGTAACTTTCCTTTCTTTTACTTTGTTCTTTGTTTGGATATTTTTTTTCCACTCATATTATTGTAAGTATGCATAGATGTAATGAAACAGAGCTCAATTGTAAAAGAAAATTGAATTGATAATTTTGATATAAATTAATGTGCTAAGTGGAAACAAAACAGATATCATTTCATTCGATACAAGACAAATCTTTTATAATACTCAATAAAATGTAATGCATTTCCATAGCAAAAATATGTTTTTTGAAAAATTTATAATTTTCTTCAAATAAGCCTTCATATGGCATTAAATCGATATAGACATATTTTGTTTTCATCTATTTCTTAGTAATAAGTGGCTCGAATTTACAAATAGAATACCATTACTTTGAGCAAAACTAAGAGCCAAAGCTGTATTTTAATATGCGAGCAACATATAACTATACTATTGCGTCTGTTTCTTATAGTTTCTCAAATACAAAAATCAAAATTGTCCATTTAACAGTGAAAATCATGAACACAACCATAAATATGATATGTAACAAAGTATTATGGCATGTTTACCATCACGCTCATATAATGTCTTCATATAGTCGACCAATTCTAGAGAAAACAGTCGATTTTTCTTTCTCGTTTTATTTGTTTTATTTTGAAGCCACTCGTACATGTTATTACACTTATCCTATATGAGATTTTCAAGTTACTCTTTGATCGTAGATCACGATGAAAGTTCATAACCCTTGTGTAACCTGAAGCGTTATTTTTTCAATATTTTATTAAAATACAGATTCTCTGACATTTTAAATTTTGTTTGCATATGAAGACGAAAATATTAGCATTATAAAAAACATTTATTATTTGTTAGAGTTTGGTTATCGAAATATGTGGTTTTTCTTTTATCTATAGAATAGATGACAGGATGTTATGTCAAAATAAAACGTATTTTAATTTATAGTTATACAAAATGCAGCTTTGCGGAAAAGAATTCAGAAAAATTTAAAATAATTTTTCATGAAATGATCCAACACAATTAATGTTTTAAAAATAATATACAATGAAGGATATGTAGATTCAGATTATAATTTTATTACATACTTATCATTTTTTGTTTCTGTGTAAAATCGATGTCTCATTCCTTATCACTATTTTCAAGCTAACTCTTATACAACTGTTTCTTCCCACAGTCTAACCGACTATCAACAAAAATGATGATATTGACTTTTATTATTTTTTTATCTATTATTCATTCAGATGTATACTGCAGCGACTGTTTATCCTATATGATTAAACTTTTTTCAACCACACTCTAGATGATGAAGACAGGTCTAGCTGAATTGGAATCTGACTTATTTTACCATATTAGTGCCTCGAGTTCTATGAAGTTCCCGATCAATTAATAGTACAAATTTTGTAACGAATTTATTTTCAAGCATAAATATTCAATAGACTTTGTTGTTAATTAAAATGACGTGATCTCTAAAATCATAAGAGTCATAGTAATTACCGTCTACTTTTTCGATGAGACTGGGAATGAAACGATATTAACTATATTATTAGCAATTTTTTGATATTAATACCAAATATATCCAAATAGTATATGCACACTTATGAACAAAGATAGTACAAAACACTTAATAATCTAAAAGAACTATGAGTTTTGAATACTAATGAAAATCCGTAACACATTATATCTAGCAAACAAATGTAAACATTAAATTCAAGTACGCTCAAAAATCGATCTGTCCGATAGAGCGTGTTGAGTTGTCTCTGAGAATGTCATGTTTGCCCCCGAAAATTAGAAAGATAAGTGAGTTTTTTTTATGAAATTTCATTAAAAGTAGAAATGATTTTCGAATGTATTATTTTGGTACGTAGATATATAACATTTGTACGAATGTCACATAGTGATAGAGCATTTTTTATTCTATCGATTAATATCTAATTGAAATTTTTTTTTACACAAATTTTCGAGTTGACCATTCTAAGACGGATTTCGCATGTCGAGAGCATTCACTGCTGCTAAGAACTATGATCGCATCCATTTTAGATACTATAGATTGTACTCTTTTCTTTATGACAGACACAGCTTTCGATACTATTAAGATTGAACTCTCAGGATATGTAGGTGACCGTTAACTGATTATGCTCTGATTCACATCGGGAACGAATTGATGAATCTTTGAATCTTTTCTTAGATTGACGGTACGTATTCAAGTGCGAAGACATTGTTGTCGACGCTGATTGTGAAGCAGTTTCTTGTGGATCTTGACTTGGCTTAGGAACATGTTGACTAATTCTGATGTCGCAACAAAATTTTTTTTATCTTTGATGATTCATATGAATGTTGAACAGGCCGTTTTCTGTTGTACTAATGAGTGGCTTGATTATTAAAACAACCTTACTATGTTTGCAATTACAACAGAATTGCGATGTGACTATGCCGTAACTGTGTCACTTTTCAATCGTTACTGCAAAAACTGCGACGCAGTATCAACCAGTTTCGAAGAAAAAAATCATATTGCGCATAAGTACGATTCTTTGTCGGAATTACGCGTAATTGCGTCGTAATTGCTAAAAAAAGGGACGACATAGGTCGGATTATATTATTTGGTTGGAATTTTCCGAACTACTAATTCCAATAATAATCTTTTTAATTATTATTAAATCTTGTGTGAGTAATCGCTCACATGTATGAAACACGTGCCTAATGATGTAGGCATACGAAGGGTAGCATGAGAGGAAATAAAGGTGATCGGCTTCTATCTATTATGTAGAATGACGAGTGGTTGAATGCGTAATAGTTTTGTCCGTATTTATGATTTATTTCTCTGCTTTTTGCATTTATATTTACTAAAAAAACATTTTAAGTCATAATGAAGCCAATAAACTACTGTTAATATGAAAGAGCTCCAACAAATGAAAGTATGTCAAATGGATTATCAATGAGTCCTGATGCCATCAAAGTATATTACTGTAACGAAGCAGTGAATAATTCGAAAATATTAACATAAAAATATGAGATTATTTAGAATCGAAGAAAAAATCTTATAACTCTGGAGCGGAACAAGCTGCAAGTATCGACCTTGCTTAGATCGGAAGATGAGATTTTTTTTCTATCGAATAATCTAATTGGGTGAGAATATCGTTCACGAAAATCTTCACTAAGAACTTAGTCATAAGGTCGATAACTACCTAATAAAGTTTTGGTGCAGTGTGATAGCTTCGGGTCTTCTCTTTTGAATGGTGAAAGCTGTAGGTCTCGATAATGTTTCTATCAAAATTTATTCAAAAAACAGTGGAGAACATTACAGTTTGAAATGAATAGTAATTATGATGGCACAAAATGATAATTGTCTTTTTTTTGAAAATAGGAAAAAATTGAATATTTGTCGTAGAGAAAAGTTTCTCTTTCTAAATTTTCAAACCTGTTTTACATTAAATAGGATTTAAATGGATGTTCAAAAACGTGATTGTCTTATTCGTGATATTCCTGTTGATTGTCTTGTCACAAATCAAGAAAGTATTAGTATTGTATGGTTTGATTCAATAATGATAAATCAGAATATTTCTGATTTATCATTTATTCATCTTCGTACTCTTAATGATTATATTTTATTTTATAGTCAGAAATCTTTGTATTTCGAATATTTGATGTCGAAACAAAAGAAAAATGATCATGTTATTGTTATATTAGATGATATTGAAATTCTCGAGCAGACACAAAATTGTAAACAAGTTCATGCCATTATGTTGGTTATGACGGATAATGATAAAAATAAAAATATTATAATCAAACAAGATTATAAAAAAAGTTGTTGGTATATTTACTGATAGAAATTCAATACTTGTTAAACTACAAAAACTAATCGTTGATGTCGAACATCAAGTTGCCCAAAATGTTGGAAATATATTTAGTACATTCAATCGACAAGAAAGAACTCTGCGAGATGTTCGCCATGAATTGGCTGTTTTCATGTGGCGTCAAGTTTTTAAAAGTAAGTACAAAAGAACAATTCAAGTTTAGAGTGAACATTTTTTTTCTACAGTTATGGTCAAAACAATGCCTCATACGCTCGACGCCCGACAAGAATTGATTGACCAATGTCGTTTATATTACAATGGAAACCAAAGTCAACTGACTAAAATCGATGAGTTTGAGCGAGACTATAATCCAACTGATGCTGTTCGATGGTATACTAAATCATGCTTCCTCTTTCGCTCGCTTAGTAAAGCTCTTCGCACTGAAGATTTAGGAAGTCTATATACATTCCGATATTTTATTAGTGATCTATGCACAATTCTTGAAGCAACTCGTGATAAGCGAAACATAACACAAGTTTATCGTGGCGGTCAAATGAACAAAGATGAAATAGAAAACTATAGTGTTGGTACTATTGTAGCAACTAATGGTTTTTTATCAACATCACGTGATTTACTTGTCGCTAAACGATTTATAGGATTAGATATAATAACAGAAAAATCGCCAAGTCAAAGCCGAGACGATCAACAACAATTTATTCTTTTCATAATTAACCCTTCGTGGTTGTCGTGGGGTCCGCGCGGACCCATTTCACAGTTTTTTATTTAATACTACATCAAGAGCTTCTATTTCTGGCCAGTCCCCTTATCTAATCTCTAGTCCTATGTTGGTCTACAACATCCTTATTAGAAATCAACGATAAGCCTAGCAGATGAAAAATGCAGCTGTGGGTCCGGATGGACCCTACGACAACTATGCTGTTACCAGCATATTTTTCGTCTTGATAAAGCTGCCATCTGTTGATTCACAATTTTTTTTAAATGATTTACTTTGGTTGGCTTATATGTTACATACGTTTTTAAAACAATTGAGCAATAGTTTGACAGATGCACAAAATCGTCGCCGTAGTCAAGAAGTTCGGCTTATGCCTAAAGTCAAACTGGCGTTGCTCTCACTAGGTTATCAGGTTCACTCAGAGAGCATCAAAGATGTTAGCCAAAACATCCAAATTCATCAAGCCAAAAAAGTGTTTCCTATGTCCAGCTCAACCAGGACGAAAAGTTCGACAAACATGTTCCAACTGTGGTCAAAATGTTTGTTTGTCTCATTCCACCAGTGTCACAGCAGTAACTTGTCAAACATGCATGGAAAAACATTAGAGTATACTTTGCATTTATGAAAAAAAGATTTATATACAAACAGTATCATCAGTTTGATAAAAAAAAACTGAGTTTTTATTGCTTTTTCTAATAATAAAGAGAAAGATAAAAGTAGCTATAGTTCAAAAAGAAAAGTTTCTTGCTTTCTCAATTGTACAATTGATTATATATATAACAACGTACGCGTAGAATCCTATCATCTAGACTAGATTGATATATTCTATGCTTTTCCCAGCTATTATCAATGTTGCTATAAAAACGATTAGAGAAGTAATTTTTTGCTATATCATACATCTTTACATTGTTTTCACGAGAGCTCACTCATTAGTTTTTATAAAGAAAGATCTCCACCTCTTCATATAAGTCAAATGAAACGCTTGAAGAAAGGAAAAATCGTTTTTTTTGTAATTTTCTATAGGTGGGTCCAGACGGACCCCAGGACAACTACGAAGTACAAAAATCAGGACAACCACGAAGGGTTAATATTGATTGGGATCGTTCACCAGATATAAATGTGGCTGATATAAGTGTTCAAAGTGACTTTCCGGATGAAAATGAAGTTTTATTTGATATAGGTACGACATTTGAAATAACTGCAATTAACTATGATTGTGAACATTACTTATGGCACATAGAAATGCAACCATCGATGGAAGTCGCTCAACTAAATCGAGAATATGAACATTATATTCGTCAACGACTGACAGAAACAAATTCAACTTTACTTTTCGGCATTTTACTAACCGACATGGGAGAATATGAACAAGCAGCCAATTATTTTCAACATCTTTTAGCACATATGTTTGACGATCATGAAGATCGACCCAATGTGTATTATAGTGCGGCACGTATTTATCGATTTACTAACCAATATGAAAAAGCATTGGAATTTTTTCGTCGTGCCGAGCTTTTACAACGTGCAAAACTACCTGAATCTAATTTTGATTTAGCTCGAACTTTGGCTGGTATTGCTAGAGAATGTCTACACAATTTAATTGTTCTTATTAGTTGTCTTACTAATTCGTACATGTATTCAGAACAATTAAGTTTTGAAACTGGATCGCAGTGATAATACTAACAATGACGGCAAGAATATAGAGTTAACAAATGTAAATAAATCGTAATCTAACGAAGGAAATTCTAATCTTTTGCTGCATCAAAGTAAAGTGTTATTTTTGTTATATATTTATTTCAAACGATTAAAAATTAAAGCGTTATAATGGATATGACTAGCTAATAGAACTAGCAAATATAAATTTGTTACATACATATAGCAGATAAAATTACATCGATAAAGAAACTGTATGTCATGATAATATGTTTTTTCTTCAATGTTTAACATCAGGTAGAATATACAAATCCTAGGCATTAGACAACACATTACTCAAAAGAACAAATGTTTTTGTTTGTGTTACATTTAGTAATGGATTTATAGAGTTTAGCAATTTGTTGCTGTACAAAACAGGAACATTTTATCCCAACGAAAGAGTAGAAAGACTATGTTCAACGATATGAAATCATAAGAAAATTGTGAGACTTTCAATGAACGCAATGTTGATGATTGAATTATCTGAGTAAATTATTTATTAACTTAAATACTTTTAAATTAAATAACGATAAACACAAGATAAAATTTTTGTTAAATAAATTGATTTTGCGAAGGAGATCCTCCAACTGATTAATTGCTTTTGAACGGAAAGCACGTGCATCACGTAGATTCTAATGGACTATGAATATCCTGAAAAGAATTCCGATTCATAGTTTACTACTACCGATGATTCTATTTTTTACGATAGTTTTCATTACAATACTTAATTTCAACTTGAATACATACATCGATGATTTCGATTTTCTTATTTTAGAACAGAAATAGATAGATTGACTTAATACTTTCACCATAAAGTATTCGCATTTTAAGGTCTGTTTCTATGAAGAATTTCAAGTCAAAATTCGAGAAATAATTTTCCTGATCTTTCTTATTGAGTATAAAGAATTTTCTCAATAGTTATAATATTCATAGTCAATATTCTATTATGTCTGTTGTTTTTCCACCATTTACTTACATGTTAATTTTAAGAATAGAACGAAAGTTTTCTCATCGCTTCTATTATGTAGAAGTAAAGAAGGATGATAACACTATGAAAAATAAAAATTTTAAATTACCTTTGAAAATTTTCTAAACAATAATAAATATAGGATTGTTTCTGTTCAAAAAAGTAAATGATCTCGTAAAAAAAATGGATTGAATCAGAATAGCATGAAGGATATGTTTTTGGACGTTGTAACAACACATTCTTAAATGCATAATTATGCTTCTGGAAATGAACTCATCCTAACTAAGATGCATTATTTATATAAATATTATTGTTAGTAGATATTTTGGAATAAACATACTGCGTAAATGGTAATATTCACATTATGTTGAATCTAATCAAACAATTATTCGATGATCAATAAATAGATATATAAAGCTTAAATGTAATTATTGAGCTTTTGTTAATTATATGCACATTGAACATGAATCTATGTATGAATATTGCTGTGGTAAGTATCAATTTTTATAGACCTAGATGAATTTTAGAACACTCTGTAGTTTACAATATTGTCTCAAATATAATTAAGAATCGTAATAGTTTATTATGTTATGTCACTGTAAAAGTATATTCTTACAATTGATAGTCTAAATATCTAGTAAGTTTTTTACACTGCTTTATATCATATTTACTATATTAATTAACGAACATTGAAATCTACTATTGATTGATTGATTTTCTTTTTGTGGTTGTTTCTTGAATATTTCATAAAGCGAGATTTTTTTTTTCAATATAAATATTTTAAAAACTATATTTTTTTTTTCTTTGTGATAGAAGAATATAATCCGAGAAATGTATTAGTTTTTTTCTCTTTTTCATCCCTTCTGCCCTAAAGAAATATATCTATTTTTATTTCCACAATTACTTCTACACGGCATATGGTATCATCAGTCATTATCTTCGCTATGCATTTATCCGAACTTTTCTTAATGGATTCCGAGATATTTGTTATTCTCATAGAATACCATATGTCTATTTCTGCATCCTATTAATAGTTCTATAGATAGAGAAAAGAAAAGAGAAATATCTATATAGACAACCGCAGCTATATATGATGCATACATTCGATATTTAGCTGTTTCTATATAAGTATTATATTATTACGATGCTCAAGTTTGCAATAACCTTGTGTATTTTGGCTGGAATTTTTTTAATTCCTATTACAAATGGTTTCTTTCTTACGCAAAAAGAAAAATGTGAAGTAACAGCATTTAAAGGAAAAGATTTTAGTGGTGAAAAAATAATGGCACATAAATTATTCCATCCACATTTAAAATCAATTGGTGCTGTAGCTAAAGCTTGCAAAGTAAAAGTTCATGTTACTGGTTCATTCAAACAATTAAAAACTCCAAATGATTTTGTATTAACATCTGAAATGCCATTAGCTGTTGGACATGGCATTCGTTTTGATTTAAAAGATCCAAAAGGAGGAACTTTATGTAATCCATTATGCATGACATCACAATCATGGAAAACACTTAGTGAAGCTAATTGTTTTATTACTGGTGTTCAAAAGAAAGGAATTAAATTTACACAACCAAATCTTTTAGATGATGGTCAAGTAGGCAAATTAAGTTCACCAGATGCTGAAAAACTTAAAGCACAAATACAAAAATTATGTGCACCAAAAGCACCTAAGGGTTAAATACTGTCGAACAATCGAAAAATGACTTCATTTTTTTATTTGATAAACTTTTATATATATATACATTTATTGTCAAAATGAAAATGTTTAAAGAAACAATTAAATAAGATTTTATTAAGCTAAAATTCATTGTTAACCAAGCATCATTATCACATATGCCCTTTTTTTATATTACATATTTACCTTTTTTTATATTAGTATTTCAATAAAATTTATTATTATGATTGATTAATAATGAAATAAATGAGCATAAGAGCATTAAAGTCATTGTATGAATTCACATGTAGATAAACATATAAAGGGTGTCTCATAATAACAAAAAATAAATTGTCCATGATAGTTTTCATACTTATCCTTGATGTAGAACTTACACAGGGTCTCTGTAAGTGATTTTTAGTAGAGTTAGTCATAGAGCACTTATTTTTAGTATGTCAGGGACAATTGATATAGTCCATGATCGTTATACGTACATCAAACCTAACTATTTATGATAGCTAGCTCATTTTATCGATTCATTTCATATGGTTTTATAGTAGTTTTCAAGAGATTCATAATGGTATAAAAACTGATCGGTATGACTTCTCATGAAGCGCAATACATTATCTCTATATGCAAAGAAATTCTAAAGAAACTATTATTGAGATATAACTTCATGGCTTTTTTTGTCTGATATTTAGTAGATTTCGATTAAGAAAATTTGATTTGAATAAAAACTAATATTATATTCTGAATTAGCATCTCAATTTGAATGAACTTATGTATATTGAAAATATTTTTGCAAATTTGTTTTATTGTGGTCGAAATATTCAGTTCTAGTCTCTCTCAGGATTTGATCAAAAAATGAATTTCATAAGAACTCTCCTTTTATTGTTTATTCATCTGTTATTTGAAGTTCTACTGTTGTTTTATAACCATAGAACTGGCTTCTCGTCATCAAAATAGCTTTTCAATGAAATTCATTGTTTTGAATTGGCCCTAAGCGAACTTTTCGGCTAAAAAAAAAGTTTGCAAGAATATTTAAAATACACGTGAAAACTAGCTTGGTTAGCGATAAGATTGGATTTCGTTTAGCAATACTCGTAGTCAAGACAAATCGATCAAGAAAAAATATGAAAAATATCATTGACAGTTTATTCATAGTTATGACGAGACACCCTTTAATTACACAAAGACTTGATCATGCTAGAGAAAAACGAACAAAGTTTGGATTTTATTTGAAAAAATACACATGACTATATGTCGATAGCTATATACTGAACCTGAATATTCACAAGCTATGATTGTTGATTGAAGACAGAAAAAAGCATTCATGTTATATTTCTCTTTTTTTTTGTATCTTATTTTATTCTTACAATAAAATTATCATATTAAAAAATGATTAAAAACAACAATTAACAAAACAAAAGTTTCTATTCAATTATGTGGTACATTATGATTAGAATCAAGAAACAATTTCCTAAGCAATAGAAATTTAATTCTGTTGTTTATGGAAAATCTTGATACTTTCAAATTGAACTCATCACGAATCTACAATGATAACTAGAAATCGTTAAACTGATCTTGTTATCATTAAGACGATATCCAAAAACCAAATAACTTATATAGTTCATATTTATCGAGCATCTAACAAATAGGATATAATAATTGACTATGGTATACTATACCATTAAGGAATTTCAAACTCATTGACCTTGGAAGAGAATTATAACAAATTTTATGACAATAAAATCTTCGTCAAGCTTAGTATAAGAAGTGATTCTTTTTCATCAAAATCATTTCTTGTTTTTTTTTATTGAAAATGGAATCAGAGTAAAAGAAGACTGTTTCCATTAATGTCAAATGATGACCATTTTTTTGCATTTATACAAACAGAACTTTTGTTTTTGTCATTAAAGGATTGATCATCGCTATAGATACTTCATGGGTTTACGGAGCATACAGTCGTATGCCTAACAGATATATTGATTGTTATTGTTATTCTCATTCAATTAAACATGATATTTAAAATTATTTGAATTGATTAAATAATTTTCTTAATTGTTTAATCTTTTCTATTTTATTTTTAAAGACAATATACAAAAAAAAATATCACTATTTAAACATTTTCATATTTCGATAAACATTGACGAAAACGAGTTAACATTTCTTTTTTGATTGTATCTGGTACAAGAGCTAAATTGAAGAATTCATTAAAAAAACAATTTAAAAGAATATATCAAACGTTCTCTCAAAAGTTGTTTCATTCTATTGAATTTTTATTAAAACAAAAAAATGCTCACGATTAATTGTAGAAAATCTTTTCGTACTGTTCTTTTTCACTACTTTCAATTAATTTTGCATATAGTGTTGCTTGAATTTGGACATTTTGATCGACTATATTTATCAAATAAGTTAATAAAATTGTTTTTAACAAGAGAAGCTTTTTGTTCATAAAGTTCAGCTTGTATTAGTGAAAAAATGAAATCGTTCACTGATTGGTTAATTGATAGACCATTGATGTGTTGTTTTACCACCATTGTAAGTTTCAATAAGTCTCTGCTTGTTTTTCTTTATAGTATATAGACGAATATTCTTCCTATCTCAATGGATAATTTTGATTTTATTTAACTTTGCCAACATGAATGACATTCTCGCATGTTCTTTTTCTTGTCATCATTTTATTTATTCGATGAAATTAAATGAAATTGGTTTATTTTAGAAAATAAAAGATAAGAAATGAAATTTTTATTTTGAACTTATTCTAGATTTTTATCTTGATCCGGTGTTGAGAAGAAAACAAATAGATTTTATCTCATAGAAATGGCCACTGCAAGGCCCAATTATTATTGTCATAAGTGTCAAGCACATATTGGACATGTCACGGTAAGACTTTTTATTCTAAAACGATTATTAATTATTGTTAAAATTAAAAAAATTTAAATTGAACCTATTAAGTTTAATCTTGTTTGCGATGTTCAATCAGAAACTTTCGTAATCGAATATAATTAATCAAACATAAACTAAATAAATAACATTTCAAAGAAAATTTGAATTATCTTTACATAAAACAAAAATCATTCATGTAATGTTCGTTATAAATTCGAATGTTATAGGAATTGTTAATATTTTCATTGCTAATCACAAAGATCAGCATTGAATCATAAATGTTTGTTTTGTGGATTTCACAGTCGAAAAAAACACTTCTCTTGACTCACTTTCGTAAATTTTCATATTCTAATGTTCATTGTATAACTTTGTACATCTGGCTACATTGTTCACATATTAATGTCAAAGAAATCTTGTTAAAAATTTAAAAAAAAAAGAGTTTTGTTTAGGATTATGAGTGTCCACGTTGTCACGATAGTTTTATTGAAGAAGTTCCAGCACAAGAACCAACATCGTATGTTTATTATTTAGTCTAAATATATTAAAAAAATCCGATTAAACTTTAGTCAATCTCGTAGTCAAAGACGTACAGGTGGAACCTTTCAAATTCATAGTGGAGCACCATTTGGTAATACAACAATTGTTTTTGGTAGTGGACCTTCAACAAATGATGCAAATAATCCAAATGGAAATGGTGATTTAGGAAATTTTCTTCAAAATATTTTAACACAACTTGCTGGTGGACTTACTGGTGGTGGTGGTGGAGGTGCACAGTTTCCTTTGTAATTAATTTAATATTATTTATTTCCAATGAATAAATTTTATTATTTATTTAGTATTATGCATAATGGTGGTGGTGGTGCAGCTTTTCTTGATCCAACAAATCTTGATGCTTTTCTTACTCAAGTAATCTTTAGTTTTATATCGAATGTTATTATTTAGCTTTATAATTTTTCTAGTTTTTAAATCAAATGGGAGAAAATAGTGGTCCTGCACCAGCACCTGAAAATCGTATAAATGCTATTCCGACAGTAAAAGTGACTGCTGAACAAGCTCGTATGAAATTTTATATCAGATATGAACGAGTCATTTTGAAAAACTTTCTATAATTGCTCTCATCTAAAGAATATGATTCAAATTATGTTCAGACTATAAAGTAATTTATACAATTAGAACTATTTTGCATTGCGCAAAGTCTCATATGATTTGAAACTTGAGTCATTATTTCGACAACAAATGACATGATATAATTGAACATAAGAAAAAAATTTAATTAAATATGCTAATTTATTGTCTGAAGATAATTTAATAAAAATTCGAATGATATGATTTAATTGAGAAGATTTACAAAATATTTTTTCAAATGTCTTGTTTATATCTATTTGAATATTAAAATAAAACTAAGAATAAATAATTATTTTAGATGATAATTTACAGTGTGCTATTTGCATGGATGATTTTAAAGAAAATGATGAAGCTAAACGTCTTCCTTGTACACATCATTTTCATGAAGAATGTATATTACGATGGCTTAGAATGGTATTTAGAAATGTTTTTTTGTTTTTCTAATAAACCTATGAAATTTGTTATTATTTTAGCATGGAACATGTCCAACATGTCGTGTTACATTAGATGGTGATAATACAACAAATCGTGAATATGTTAATCTTCAACCAAATCAACAACAAACATCATCATCATCATCATCATCAAATAATAATCGTCGAAATAATGGAGATAATAATGGATCATCATCATCATCTTCTGCTGCTGCTATGGGAGGGTTTAATCCACTTGAATTCGATTAAAAAAAAAAATATTTGTGTGATTATTTATGTACAAATCATTTTTTGTCCTTCTGATGATCTTTACATTTTTTTTCTGTTGGCTTTTCTTTTTGTCATCGTCTCGATTTTTTCTTCTGTCGGAAATAAATGAACATATTTCACACATCTACGACCGATTAGGATTTGATTTTTTCACTTTGAATTTCATGAAGAAGTTTTTACTTAAATCAGATTCATATTTCCTATTACATGTAAATCTATGTTCAGATGTTTTTTTTTAAAACTTATTAAATGTTAAAACAACATAAGTACTTTTCGTTTAATAAAGAAAAAAAAAACATTGTTTTGAAAACATATATTTTATGAATAATGTTACTTGTAACTGTATAGATTCCATTTTTTTAACATACAAATAATTAGTAGAGAATATGACAAATATATTTTCAGTTGTATTTGATTATTGAAATTTTAATTTCACAAAAAATTAATATAACTTACAAGTAAAATCGAACTTCAATTCTATCTAGTTTCATAATCCTAGATAATAAGACTCAAGATTTCTTGAATGACTCTTCAGATTTTTATCTACTAATGACAACATCTTTTTAGTTATTTCAAAGTTTGATATTAAGTCCTCCACCTCGAAAAAGTCACTTTTCGTCAAAATCAACGAAATTAAGATAAACACAGGAGAATATAGCCTGTCGTCAGATTTCTCATAAACGACAAAACTTTTTACTCGACATGTCCTTTTTTCCAAATTTTTTTAAAGATTTTCTTCATTCCCTATTCGAAAAATAAGATGTTCTTAAAAGAAAAACCGAAAATCTTTTTCGATTTTTCTCATTTTATAGGTTCTCGATCGCATCTTCAAGATTTCTCGAAGAAGCTTCATTGTAGCCGACAAACCTTTATATAGTTACAATGCCATTTTTGAAGAGATTTTTTTGAGTCATTGAACTTTCGATTCATTTTTTTCTCTTTAAAACGTAAGAGTTTTAAAAAAGGGGCTCTCATAAGCACTACATTCTAACATGCTCTTTCAAATAATAAAAATATTAAATGTATAGACTGAAGACTATAATGAAATTTGGAAGACGAAATTAGCTTTTTTTTGACCCTTGTTTGGCCGGTATCTCCGTCAAACGTCATGATACAGGATTGAAAATTTTACCATAGCCATGGTTCATCAGTTCCAACATATTCTAAAATTTTCATGTCATTCGAACGTTCCTAGCCTGAGATCAAATTTGGAGGCGGGAGAAAGCCTTAAAAAACGAATTACAATAGAATCATATTTAACAAAAATGAATTAAAATATACTAGCAAGATATTCTAAACTTATAAACAGGTTAAATTATGTACTGAGACTGGATCTGTTTTTTTTTGATAGAAGTAAACAAACTGTCTGTTCTTGTTCATATTTAGATCATATGCATTGTTGCTCAATTCAACAATGATCAAATCAGTTTTATATTAATATTTTTTAGTATCTTTTTGATATTAAAAATGAAATAAATAAATAAAATAAAATGTTGTCCTAACATGGGAATATAAATATTCCTAAATATATTTATTGTTGATGGTTTTTCAATAAATAATTAATGGACAATAAAACAAAGCAAGAATCATATTAAGTAGTTGCTTCATTCAAAAAAAAAAAACTTTTCTTCTTTTTATTTTTCTGTTCAGACGAGCACTTCTGGAAATTCAAAATGAACATCTTTTCCAGTGAGTTTTTTATAAATTGATTGAAAAGCTGGTACCTAACAAAAATAAGAATTTGTTTTTACTTAATTTAAATATTTTTTAATCAAAAAAACAAACTTTATTTTCGACAAGTGTTTGTTGATTTTTATCAAGATGAATTTTAAAAAGACGTGATCCATCTAATTTAATTCGAATACGTTTTCCTGTTATTTCAGCTGGATAAACAAGATCATGTAAAATAGCATCATGTACTGCAGTTAATGTACGACTAAATACATAAAAATTTAATTATTTTTTTTTGTTTAAATAAATAAATCAACAACAAACGAACTTTCTTGGTCGTTTTTGTTTCGATTGTGTTTTCGATTTTCGTGTTGGTTTTGGTAAAATTCGACGCTAGAAAAAAAAAACAAAACTCTTCTTTTATTATTGTGTTTTTCTTATAGTAGCAAAAAAAACAAAAATTTACTTGTCCCAAAAGAACAACAGTTTGATTATATTTTTTTTCAAGTTCAGAAACAAGTAACGAATGAATTCGTTGAAAATTTTTTACTTTCGGTACTGGAATATAAATTACTAAGGCTGATCGTCCATCACCTAATTCAACTTTCTAAATAACAAAAACAAAAAAAAAATGCAAACAATTTTTGTTTTCGATAATTAAATATAATTTTCAAACCTTAGCTCCAGTTATATAAAGTTCACGTAATTGACCTTTAAATTGTGCATTTCCTTCGAGTTCAGTGAATTGCTAAAATATAGAGAGAATTGAATTATTAGAAATGATTATGAACAAAATTCAACCTGTGAAACATCGAGTTCAAGTGCTGTTGGTGGTTCACTACCACTTTTCATTATTTTTGTACCTGTGCTCATTGTTCACGATCAATCGGTTTTAATTATCTAAAAATCGACATTTTATAATTATTTCAAAGAATTCTATGATTGAATATTAAAAAAAAAACAACTTTTGGATGGTCTAATGTCTTCCATATTTTACCATGATGGTTTTCAAGATTATTTCCATCTATTAGACTTTTCTTTTTGTTTTTTTTTTTGAACGAAAAATTTTTTTAATTTTAAATATTTTTTTCATTAATATAAAATATTCTTTATTTTAAAAAGAAATTCATTTTTTTGATATGTGAAAAATTAACCAATGAAAATAATTTCAGCAATTTTGTTGTCCTATCAGCAAAAAAAAACAGGAAGCAGCTGGTTATAACTTTTAGATAACAAAATCTTTGTTTATTTTTAATTTCAACTTAAACAAGTTTCATCATCTTTCTAAATCATCATACAGAACTCTTTTTTTTTTCTTGTCATAAGAAATAGGTTATTATAGTGAATGTGATTGATACGTCATTATTTATTATCGATCAATACTTTATATCAGACAATTCAAGAATGTTCAAAAATTTGCAATCGCACAATTTTTTGATTTTTGTGCAGATAATTATTTATATTTAAGATGTGAATAGTGAAGCATTAATTAATCTGCCATAGTAGTCATTTATGTTCAGAATAAACAATCGTGAAATGATCAAATTATTACATTAGGAAATAATCAATGTCAATGTTTCTAAATAACAATAGCACAATGAGATCTTTTCTAGTTATAATAGATAAGTGCTATAGGCTTATTTACCAATTAAATCAATGGTTAGAAGTATAAACAATGCTCAATTAAGAAAAATCTTTTTTATGTGAAATGTACAAATAAATTTTTGAGAACAACTTTAATCTTTGAAAAATTGTTTATTTTACGGTATTTGTATTTTTACAATAAAGCCTAAGAACATAACTCAGTTTCACATTTTAGCCCTAAAGGGTATCGATTGAAAAGCTTTGTTCTCTTAAATTGAATGTTAACAAACGCTAAACATCTGAATTTCCTTCTTTTATTTCTGATGGCTAAAATTTACCTTTCATCACTTAATCCAGTATCAAATTAACTGTTATTTAATCATGAGGACGACACTCAACAAGAAAAACTACACTGAGTAGAAATATTTTATTAAAAATAAAAAATGTGACATGATTGAAATTCTACTAATGTTATTTTTATATTTGATATATCGTTTCAATGCATAATACTATTTCGAACAAGATAATCAATGATTCACCATCGAACAAAGCTACTATATGAAAAGCAACGATATATCCATCTCATAAAATGATGTCATAGATATACACCAAAAAAAAAAAAACATAACAAGGATTTCATTAGAATGACGTCAATCGGGGTCAGATATAAAAAAAACGAACTATTAGTTCGAATATAAAATTAATTATTCTTAATTCTATAATCAAAGAAAAGATTTTCGAATTATCTTTACTTTAATTATATTTTCATTCGAATTTAGTTAATTTATACATCGAACACAAATAGAAGAATATTGAAATTAATATGAATATGTTCAAGATTTTCATATAAGCGCAATATATTAATCTTATTTCTGATAGATGTCGCTATATTATTTAAAAGACATATAAATTCTATCCTCTATATGACAAAGGAGAGAAAATGGCTTCGAATGATATCAGTCAAATGATTGGCTAAGACATCATCTCAACTCGTGATCGTTATCGTCATTTTGATCTTTTTCTCTTTCCTTTCATTGAGTTGTTTTTTTCTTTTTAGTATCCATGTCAAAATCACGGTCGACAAGTGAGAAAATATAATTTTTTTTTTTCCTTCCTTGTAAAATAATTGTATCAATAGAGAAAAAGAGAAAGAAAGAAAGAACAAAAAAAAAAAAAACGCTTGTATAAAACGTAGGTGTCTTCTCATCATAGACGAGTTTATCCATGAAAGTGTAAGAGGTCGATAAAAAGAAAAGAAAAAAGAACCAGTTTTTTTTTTTTTTTCTTTTTACCTATATTCTTTTATTTTGTTTCAGAATACACAGGCCGTTTGTTTTAATACCGTCATGTTGGTATAATTTTTCATCTCTTTCTATTCTTTAATAATATAAGTATCAACGAGCAACTGCTTTATATAGCAGACTCTTTTAATTATTTAACGATATTTAACAATTAATACTATTAATCATTATGTCGACTTTTTTATTTAAAAAAAACCTAAACATATAATGAGTGTTTTAATCAATAGTGAATGATATTTATTGTTAATAACTCTAGTCGACACAAATAACAAAACTAGATAGTTATCAATTGGACAGCAAGATTAGTGCTGACCAAAAACAACAACAGGTTTGTTATATATTAATAGATTAGTTTTTTATGTTTATTTATTATGTTTAGGTAATAATCAGTGGATATAAATCTTTTAAAATTTACAATGGTAG